ATTCAGAAAGTCTAGACTAGGTTGAAACTGAAAAGATTATACAGGACAGCATTTCAGTGTCTATATTTCAACATGTGGTTAGAGCCTGTCTTACACTGAAACACAGTAATAATTTAATGCTGTAGAAAGACCGAGATGTCTAAAAAAAAAACAATTGCGTTTAGTCCAGATGGGTTTCATGGGAAGGAATCTTACACGTTTATTCTGTTCATAACTATTATGGATCCAAGTTAGGTTCCCTGAGGAACCCTTTCATGACATTTTCAAGGGATCAAAAAAAAAACAAAGAAAGTCATGCCCCCATATTTTCCCCCTGTTCATCCATGTGGCTCTATGACCTCCAGGAGGGCTCATCCCCCTGTTTGAGAACCACTGTCATAAAGCAATGATGGCTCATCCATAAAACACAGATGTCAAGCAATATTTTTTGTGTGTGTTTCCAGGGGTGACTACACTGATCCATCAGAAAAAGGACAGAATTTGTGACAGATATCCCTCTCAGGTTGTTTTGAAACATCACTGTGGTGACAGTTCATAAGGGAAAACTGATTCATAGTGAAAAGAAGAGACAAACTACAAATTATCTTTTCAATTAATAAAAACAGACCTAGGAAACCTTTACAGTCACTCTAATCTACCATCGCGTTGTATTGTTTTTTTCTAAAACGTGTGAACAACAAAGAAAACAAAACAATGAAATTAATAATCAACATTACTACAACTTAAACAATGTAAGAATGTGGCATCTCAAAGACATCTCACAAGCTCAGTTTTCACCATAATGTTTAAGTTTGGAAAAACTCGATGAGCTGGTGAACTGGAGCAGATCAGATTCATCAGCCCACACAGTGAACTATGGGGATTGGTGTAGAGCTTTTTATGTACAGTTTATTGTGTAGAGGCTTCAAAACCTTGTTAACAACAATTTAGGTGACTTATTTGGCTTATAATGTGACTCACCATCTCCCTAAAACTTCCAACCCTGATTCTGTAACTGTGATTCCTGTTTCTGAATTTGTAGGTACTCATAAACAAATGTTCATGGAAGGTTTAGGATACAGTGTTTTTCCACTCAGCTAGTTATGTCAATGTCGGACTGACTAGCATACTTTTTGTAAAATGATACCCGTCTGAAGAAAAGGCCCATAGAGGCTCATCAAATAAACTTGAATGTAACACAGACAGACAGCATATGTACTTTAAACATGGTTACTGAGTCCTTTAGGTTGTTGCTTAAAAAGTGTCAACTCTCCAGCATAGATTCAGTTTACATCTCAATATTGACAGTCTGAAAATGACTCATAATCGTGTTGATGTCAAATTAGGAATTCTATCTATTTTGTTTAAAAATATTATTGATTGTATTGTTTAAGATAATCTGGACAACAACAAAAAAAAAATACATCATTTTTTATTCTTATGGTTTCCAAATATCTTTATTTGTCTCTTAATTGTGCTGGGACTACGGATGCAAATTAGCTGCTAAATTGAGACATTTGCATTAATGTTTCCCAAAATGTACATGTTGATTAATGTGTATTGTCCACAGAAATACTCAAATAATGAACACATCAAATATAAAGCAAATTGTTAGGCAAGAAATGTCATACAACAACTTTATTTTTTCTGCTCGGAGGCCATATGTAGAGCAGTGCATCACAAACGGAAAAAAAACAGAACTAAAAATGAAATGTTGCATCAACAAATGTTCCAGCACTAATGTCTGAATCTATCCTCGTAGCATCTGGGCCACTGAGCTCTTTCTGGGAATGAAATGGCATTGTTGCTTAGTCTCCTTGTACTTTTTTTTGGGGGGGGGGAAGTTTCATCTGTATAACAATATTGAAAGGCATTAGTCTTAATCTCTGTGCTTCCTTTTACTTTTTTTTCCTTCTTAGTCTTAGAAGATACATCTGGTTCTATCTCTTGTAATTCCTGCTGGGATTTCAAAGAAAAGCGAAAACAATTTTTACAACAGTGAAGGGATTAAGGAGGAGGGCAGGGTGGGTGTTATAGGACATTTAGCTGCTGCTAGGAATGAGATAAATGCCTTCAAACAGCAACAACTGCTGTGACATGTTGCACTTTTTGCAGCTGGAAGAAACTTCCTAGTAATCCTTAATGGATCAGAAGTTGTAAGTCCATCCTCATCACTAAGAGAAAATGTTTAAGCTTATGAGAGTATGTATGCAGGGTACTTTCTATGTTATTTTCAGAACAATACCAAATTAAGCCCTTTATTATAAAACTGTCTGTAGCTTAGCCCTGCATATGTGCTGTTGCAGTTATCCTCTTTCTGCAGCGTTACATGGGACGCAGATTGGTTTCTTGAAGATTTAGATTTTAAAAATGATGTAATTGTGTATTTTTCATAACCCTTTATATAAATCTTTTTTGTGATTGTTACTTGTACTCATCTACCACTCCGCCTTTTTGTAACAACTCACCTAACACAACTTGTTTCGTGTGCAGGCCACATAATCCAGCAGCTCAAATATACAGTATGTGACCAAAGTGCTGTGAGTGACTGCTGTAAGCACATTTAGGACTAATATAATTTCTATGGTAAATGATGCCATTTGTAATTGTCTCTGTTGTTAGCTCTTTTTCGCCTTTTTAGTATTGTTTTGTCTGTTTTTTAGTGTTAAAAAAAGTTATACTGATTTGTCTGATTTAGGATTGTTTCGTCTCTGATATCTGCTTACCTGCTTAAATGAAGGATTCATTCAAATCAATATACAGCGTTATTCCTCTATAGATTGTCCAATGTCAACTATACTTAAACATTTACAAAATAAAGCCATCGGTATGGAAAATACTGTACTGTAAAAAAGTATTTCAGGTGAATTCACCATAGTGATTTTATTTTATAAAAAGTGACAGTTGTGCCAGTATAGGAGCTACACTTTGGTCATGGCTTAAGTATTGTTTTTTTGTTTATTTAGTTTTTCAATAACCTGAGGAGGCATTACATTCTGAGTTCTTTTAGACTTAAAATGTTTACAGGTAACAATTTCTTTACTGACAGGTGTTAAAACATTGAAAATTGTCTTTAAAATGTAAAAATAAACCAAATCAAACCAAATCAAATGAATTGATAAACTGTCTATACCAGAATAATATTCCTAGTTATGTGGAGATGGCTTTGAAATAACATTTAGACAATCATAACTGAGCATGAAATTAATAAATAAAATGGTTAAAAAGAATAAATTTTCGTTTTTGATGATAAGTCAATTTCTGACTTGGGGGGGGGGGGGGTGTATTGGCAGAATTTTGACTCAGGATTTCTATAATCACTAGGTTATTTTTTAAATCCTACTTTTTGTAGTGATAAACAAAGTGATGCACAAATGTATAATTTTATTTAAAATTCATACCAGTTTTAGGGCATTAGATTTAATCTGAGAGACATAGTGTAGGCTAAGCATGTTAGCAAGTAGCATTTACCATTTAACATTGGAGCCCAAAAATCGGGATTTGGCATTTAATGCTGAGCTCAGCTCCATCACTACATACCTCAGTATTAAACCACCACAGCACTGAATGGTAGTTTGTGTTTTCATTCTGTAGCTATTTAGTCAAACTATACAAGAAGATTTATGAGAAAATACTGCAGTCATTTGTAATGTCTCTATTTATCACTCAGCTGCTGAAGAGAGAATTCATTTGGATATTACTTATAAGTATGAGAACCTAACTTTCTGAGTGTGGGCAATAAACTGCCTCTTCAGTGAAATGTATCAAAATCGTGAAAATGAATTGCTTTGTAAATCTGACTTGGAAATAAAATTAAACTGATGGATCTCTTCAAAGTAAAGAGAGAAACTTGTTCAATTTAACAGACTCTTATTCAGTGCCACTCCATGTGATCAATTAAAAACACAGAATAAATGTTTGATTCTTGGGGTTTTGTTGCTCAGATATGGTTTGACTGACAGATATCAGGCTGCAGTTCTGTTTGTATCCTGTGGAGGTCACTCTGTACCTACTGTGGACATCAATACAGCAGCAGAGCAGCATAAGGCCACCCACTGAACATGAGCTGCTTCAGATAAAACATTAAACTGATGAATCTAATCTTTCTGTCAGTGATGAGGAGACACTAACTGTACAGTATGTGGCCACGTAGGCTATAACCATAAATATTAACATCATTAGAATTATTATTTCAATGTAATACTGCTTATTTGATTCATCTCCCCAGATGTAGCTACAATGCACAAAAGTATTAAATATATTAAAAACAAAACAAAATTTGTCATGAGCAAGCGCATTTGAAATAGTCAATTTTCCCTGTTTTATGTTTGTTTGTACTTTTTCAGTTGTGGAAGGGCTGAATAAAATATGAGACTGAAAAACATGCAAGAATCATAACCTCATCTTCATCAGTCAGCACTAAGCAGCACAAGTCAAACTTGTATTTTACAGTGTGAATAATTACAAATGTTTCATTTCCTTTAATTTATGACATTTTAATTATCATTTTAGATGTCTTTTTGTATTTTATTAAAATATAATTTGCCTTTTGTTAACAGTAGAGTGCTGAGAGAAGATGAGAAAAGAGGAATGTAACAAAGGTGGCCAGACTCAAAGTGGAGATTTTATATGGTCAGCATCCTTAACCCCTAAGCCATATGGACTCTCCCTTTTTCATGTTTTTCAAAGCAAATAAAATAACACCAAAATCACCCATGTCAATCTCAGCAAAAACAGATGTCTGTATTTGCAGCTAAGTGACTTACGCACAGTAAATCACAGACTAAACCCAGTTGTTGTTACTTGCTGTTTCACTGTGCGGCTACAACAAAAGACACACAGCTGCAGCGCAATAAATCAGAGAGGAGACCAAGCCTCTACTTCCCTCTAAAGGCAGCAGGTGGTGCTATGGTATCTCTGTTTGGGCCCTCCATAAAGACATCAACTCCCTGCATGAGCTTAAGTGAGACCCCCCAAACTGGTCCTGCATCAGGCCAATAATAAATAAAACACCATTTGGGAGCTGTTTCAACTGGTATGATTTATTAAAAGTTAGTGCATTAGATCAGGGCAATAACTGAAATTATGATTAAGGAAATGACAGGATTGGGACCTGCAGGTGCTGAAAAATGGATGCGTCGATGGACAGACGCACGGGCACACAGATCTTGTTTGATTAATAATTCACAGTTGGATTAAACCAGATTGAGATACAAGCCGAGCCTTTTTGTAAGTGGGTTTTTAAAAAAAAAGAATTTTCTCATGGGATTCGCTCCAAACCTGCAACCAGGAAGCTCTCGAGCTGGTGGCATGTTGCTCCGAGGATCATCATTGTCATCATATGCGATCCAGTATTAAGATGGATGCTGCCTGATCCCATCAAGATAATGGGTTTCATGTCTCCTGGCGTTAGCGGGGGATGTGGTTGGTGGGACAGAAAAGATCTCTGCAGATGATTTCTTTTGTTTCCTCCCTCCTCTCTGCAGGCATCTCGACCCTTTGAGTCTACAGCACATGCTGGCACGCACGGAAAATGCTAAATGAATACCTCAGACGTTCATCATGCGTCCTCAGGTTGGAGGCAGAGAGGATACTTTGGGTTTCCAGCCAGCAAGGCAGCCAGGACAAAAGAGAGATACTTTGTTCACACCAGAAGGGGTTGTTCTGTCTCTATAATGGAGAGGAAAAGAGACAGCCACGCAGACAGAGAGAAAAGGAGATATAGAGAGTGAGTGTGGTTAGCTCTCAACCTTTCTCCCCAGGAGTGGTCACACTGGATCTATTTCAGGCACTGTGTTCATACTAAATACATCCATAATTGTTTCCAAATCTGTGGTCATATCTGACTTTTATTTCCTGCTTCATTCCAGGATTTAAACTATCACTGAACAATATAAACTGACAGTGATGTCAAAATGTCCAGATGAGCAATAATAAAGGACACTGAATTTACTTTTGTACATAGAAAACAAACTTAATCCTGTTGCAGTATTGGGCAGTAGGTTTTGACTAAGCTGAACATGACAATGGAAAATGACTCTACTACAAGTTAAAGTTGAAAAACTTTACTTAGTAAAAGGACAAATTAGCAGAAAAGTCTCCTGGGAATAACAAAAGTAAGTAAGTACTCATCACGCTGATTGACCCCTTTCATATTGTCATAAATGATTGATCCATTACCTGTAAGCAGACTTTGTATGCAATGTAGTAGCTAGTCTACAGTAGATGATTCAAAAAAGGTTCACAGCTCCTGCACTAATAGTACTATGTATATTTAGTTTATTAAGTATTTAGCAATGCCTCATGAATTCACTACAACTCAATCTGCAAAGTAAATAGTGATTACAAATATATTTAGCAGAGTAAAAAGATACTTTCTTCTGAAATTAAAGTTGAACAGAATGAATACCTTCACAAAGTACTTGAGTAAATTCTTTAAAGTAAAGCCCAAAGTAGAGAGCAAAAAAAAACCCATGAAGAATGCATTTTGCTTGAAGGGGAACTCCAGTGATTTGGCATTGCACTTCCATAAAGTTGAGGGAGTCACAAGAGACTAAGAGGTAAAAATCAGCAGATGCCTTTTCTTTAGTATGGGTCAAACTCCGAAACCCTGGATTTTACAGTGCATTTCCCATAAAGCAACTTGAGAGTGCCTTTCATTGCACGCTCCCTCATGCTCATGTTTTTCAAAATCCACACCCCCTGTTTGCCCTAAATAAGTCTGTCAGTGCAGTTAGAATATTCCAGCTTTTTGACAAACAATCACAAGGTCCACTCACTTAGTTTTTACCAAGCATTATTCAGCCACATGTTAGAGTCTGCTCAGTTGCCATGGTCACGTGACCTGGAAATTTGGTGGCTTGATTACAGGTGTTCACATATCAGGTACAGGATCCATGATGCCATCAGCTGAGGAAAGCCATGAGATGTGGCTGAAAGCTTTGGAAAAAACAAGGATGTGAATAAGAGTTTTTTGTCAACAAGTCCAAGAATGAATCTTTAAGCTCAATACTTCACCTGTTTCTAATTCAGATTTATTAGTTTCAAGTATTATTAGTAGTAATCTATTTTAGGTTACAGACAGCAATTTCTAGAAAATTCTTGAAACAAGTAGATTTTTGCGGGAAACAGGTTGAAATGTTCTGCAGTGTGGAGGAAGCCCAATTCCGCTCCTGCCGTCCGGTGGCCCCTCTCACTCTGACTCCCTGCCCATCCAAACCCTGCAGTGTAATTCACCTAAAATAGGAGATGGGGGGAGGTGTGGGTGGGGGAGTGGATAGTGGGCAGGGCATGGAGGGGAGTGGATGTCTCAAGGTCAAAGGCAGAGTGGCGAATTGGGGTGGAAGCAAACTAATGAGTTTTTCCGTTGTCTCCCTGCCCCAGACCGCTGGCATCACCTCGCTGTCCTGTCAATCCACTCCCCACCCCCCAACCAACCCATCTTCTTCTTCCCCTCCCATCTTTCTCTCTTCCCACCTTCAACACAGAGGGGAAAAAAACTGGAAAAAACTGTTTATTTCTGAACAGGCCTCTTAATCTATTTGGACTGGGCATAATGGGACATTTGCATGGCGAGCACAGCGAGGTGTCAGCGATAACTACGGGGTTGTGACATCCCCTCCGAAATATGCTGAGCTTTCGCTAACCTCTCATCAAACACGCTGATCTTTATGGACTGTATCATATTGTGCCGTAATGTGCTTTATTGTCCACAGAATAAGCTTTTCTTTAAGGTAATTGGAAAGCGGGAAATGGCCGCTATCGGCGGACTTTTTAAATACATTATTCCTGAAATGTGGCTTGTGTAATGACCCTGTCGGTGTAAAACGTGAGATTTATCTTGGCAGCAGAAATTGATCCATTTCACCTTTGTCTAATGGAAATTTTTATCAAGTATTATCTGTTTATGTAAATGAGCGTGGCCCCTGGAACGGAGGGGATAAAAAAGTCTGGAGGGGGGAGCAGTTAATCTAGGGCCTCTTTACGTGTCAGTCTGGACATAATGCATACAGGATTCATCTCTGTGGGGGAGGTGTGTGTGTTCCGGTACTTCTATCTCTCTGAGAACCAGGCTGACTTGTAGACCTTCATCGTGAAAAGTTGTGTTTAAAGAGGATATTTGGATGGTCCTCAGTTCTTTACCCAGGACTTGGGTTTAGGGTTATTGATTAGTGAATATAGTGCTGATGTAGTGTTGTTTTTTAAAGAGGACTTCAAATGGAGACTCTAACATCCTGGAACTACATCAACTCATTCTACGCCAACCAAAAGTGACATCAGGCATTTTTAAGGCACCTCTGCTCCTTTTCTTTTTACCTAACTCTATCCCATTGGTTTTCCCTTAACATGGATCTGTCACAGTGTTAAGTGCCAACCTAACATCCTGTTTAAACACTGATTAACCTCACATGATGATAGTAAAGAATAGACGTCATTTCATGGGGCCTTTAAGGTTAGGATTAGCATTTAAAGCTGGGGTAGGCAACGTTGGAGATCTAGCAAGACACAGCTCGATTTTAAAAGTATCCAACTGAAAAAAGGCACTCCCCTGTGCAGGTAGGCAGGCAGACCGGCCAATAATTTCATTCGAACCAAAGGAAATGATTGGCCATGCTTATTACAGGCCTGTGAAAGCCACAGATACTGGATTCTTTTTATGTAATTTTTGCGTCAAAGCATTTGATTTATTGATTGCTGTTGGAATGTAAAGAGAATTTCAACACATTCATCAACAAATGCTTTAAGGATGTTATCAGTGATGGTAAGCACAATAACTGTGTGCATGTCTTCATACTCACAAAACAATCTCTGCATTGCATTCCTCACCATTGCATTGAAATCTGATCTGGCGTACCTATTGGTAGGATGAAGACACAGAAACTTGTGTTCATAGCCAATACAATCTGGTTACTCTCTGGTTATGCTGGTTAAGGAGGGATAATCTTTAAGGTTACAAGAAACCGATGTTGTTGGTAAGAGACAGAACACAAACCAGGATTGACACACTTTGTGACTTGTTGAGGCGGTATAACATCATCACAATACTCCTGACTTTGCTACTGAGGAAGGATGACCTCCAGAGCTCGCTTGCCAAATAAACATGAACCCAAGATGATTTCAGCGTTTGAACAAACAACCTACTGACCTGTGCTACACCAGAGACTTAAAAGTAAAAAGTTTTTGACCACTAGTAGTGCTATGGAGCAAAAACAAATGTCTTAATGTTTTTTTGGTGAAAAAAAAACTGAATGTGACAATAACTGTTTAAATACAAATACTCCATAGGGTCCCTTTAAATGAAAGCTGTGACATGCAAATTTAGTTGCCATTGGTACTACACACTGTCACAGTTTCTGCACATACTTCAATTTAAATATGAAATATGTTAGTTCTTATGGTAAGCTGTTCCAAACCCACACTAAACCATCAGACTGCCCTTAGCACACTGGTATGTGACAGACACCTGTAACAACTATGTTATATTATTATTATAATGAATACCCCTGTGCATGGATACTGCAACATGTCTAGCTGCTAAACCCTAATAACAATATTAAACCGCTTTAATGACTCAGTGTTGTCTACTAGGGAATGTGTTGAGTCTGTTAAAATGTTTGACACAACAATTAAAGATGTATTTCGTGTAAAAAAAAATATGAGGGCATGTCACTCAAATATTAGTGTCATGTAAAAAGGCTTTGAATGTCCACAACAAAACATGCACTGAGCTTGTGTTAGTGTTGTTTCTGGCTGCATGTCTATTCATCACTTAGGCTCTTAACATATTTCCATATCATAAAACTTTTCACGGACAGCTCCGTTATGTGCAGCATTATACGGTAACTCAGACATTTGGACATGTCAGCTGCAGAATAGATGGCACATTTTGGATCACCGACTGAGCCGCATGAAAAATGAATGAATAGCGTGGAAGCTGTGTGTAGTGGCGGTGGGCTACAGTCACTTAGAAGAAGGGCTGTAAAGATTGACAAGGCCCCCCTCACTTGTGTTTTCATTGCAGCGGACGCTTTTGATGTTTTATGGGAGAGGCCTCGCCTTGTTGCCGGAGTCTTTGGCGTGACAGCAGTGCGACGGTCTTGAAATACAGCTGGTGGGGGGTGGGGGGGATTCTCCACGGAGGGCAGCAAATGGAGCTTCATCGGGAGCCAGTGAATCCCCGGTGGCCCCTGCTGTCATCTGCCATCCTGACAAGCAGACAGAGAGGGGAGAGTCAGCCGGGCTAAGTGACAGACACGCCAGTGTGACCCAATCCACCAGAGGGAAGGCTTCATTACTGTCTTAAACGGCCTGATGTTCTCAGAGGCCACAGACCGGGTCTGAGTCCAGGCTAACCTCGGCCGGAACCCCCCTGCTGATGAAACACCAGCCGTGATGCATCACAGCGGCCAGAGTTCAGCTGAGACAGGCTAAGCGGAGGGAGCAGACAAACAGAGAGACAGTGTAATACAGAGGATGATGTATGGCACCAAGCATAATGCTGCTGAACAGACACAGCACTCAAAGGTCTTCTGGCTACAGTGTGAACATTTACTCTCACACACTGAAGAATGCTCTGCTCTCGTATTTTGGTAAATTCAGCCATGTTCTTATATTTGTCTTCAAACCTTTTGGTTTTTGATAAGGATTAGCAATTTGCAGCATGCAGGCATGGAATATATCCTTTGCCCAACACAAGTCCACCGTCTCTTCAGAGCATTCATGTTTGAGACTTCCTGACAGAAAATTACTTTATGGACTTACTTTTAATGAACTGAATTGTTCGAATTCGAGTGTTTGTGATGCTCAGCGATCCTGCAATATCAACTGTGGCCACTACGCCTGAAATGACCTCAAAGCCCAGTGCAGCTCCTGGAAGCTTGTAATGCTCAGTGCATAAGTGCACTTTACCTGGAAGTAGAATTTGATTTGTTTGGGAAATGTTCAAACTCAGGATTAACATGGTGAGACACAAATGCTTTCAGTATGCGAAAACTCCACTTTATTTGGACAACCCCAGTCCTCTTACTCTTAACTGCTCAGCTGTTCCACTGGGTCAACTTGAAGTGCCATGCTTAAGGGCACATGAGCAGTACTAAGTTTGAAATCCTCACTGCCTCTGTTTCCTACTCACTGAGTTGTTAGTTTGAAGTATGTGACTTTGCTGCACCCTGATCCCTTCAGGTGAGCACCTGACAGGTAAAAATCCACCTGTGTCAGTTTCTCTTAATGTCTGCAGTCCTGACCCATCATGGTGATCCATGTGAGATTTTCTGCCTCTGTAATTGCAGGAAAGTGCCTTTCCAGCCAGTTCAGTCTTGTATCTGTCCCTCAGAGACACAAGTGGAGACCATTTCATCCTTCCCTCTGTCACTGCTGGGACTTTTAACTTCTTAAAGAACTCACAGTGCCGAGGTCAGCCGTCAACTCCAGCATCTCACTGAGGTCCCCAGACAAGAACGAAAGCACCTATGAGGCCAGTGAGCCCTCAAACACTTCTCATTCCCTCCATCCATGACTCCTGGTAGTCTGGGACCTATATGTAATTAAAAGGGAGCTTTAATTTGCCCCCAAACATTAAAAATGGATCCTGTTGGCAGCAAATGGAGCATCTCCCTGCTCACCTCCAGCCATCTTGTCTGGTCCTTGAGGGCTGGAGGCCTAGACAGATGCTCCTCCAGGAGGCGAGGGAGGTTTGTTTGTGCCTCAGGAGGAAGTGGATGTCTGTGGTGGGCTGGAGGCTTTTTGGATGATCCTTGAACACATTACATCAGAATATTGTTACTGAAAGATGAAACAGCAGCCCATGAACGACTGGCTGTCAGTTAAGCAAACTTCACTTAAAAAACATATTAAGCACAAAGTCTTTTTACAGTCAGAACAGATTTTTGGATTGAAGACCTGTGGTGAAGACGTAGAATCAAGACAGTTTCTAA